CATGTCATCTGACATCATGGCTGCAGAATTTAATTTCTAGACAACAGAACATCCTGGCAGGGGTGTTCACAGATCCTATGAGGTCATGTTGTGAGGATAATATGCAGTCTGCTCTGAGACAAACTAAAAGTGTTGTTTGAATCTCAAAATGCATCACTGCAGTTTTACTACTTAAATGTTATGTAAAGTACTGTGTACTAAATATTTTTCATAGATTATCAATCTTGCATTATAAGCAAAAATGGTTGCTTTATTTTACAGGAATATAATATCTGAATAATCTTATTAATTTGGTAGAGTTATTTATTAAATAATTCCAATTCTTTTCTAGTGGAACCCAGAAAGTCTTTAGTTGGTTCACAGCAAGTCAGCTGAACATGGGCAAATTGTCTACAAAAACACATTTACATTAATGATGCACAAAGAAAACTAATAAATAAATAACTTAAATGGAGCAGTTATTTCAATAATATTTTGCTGGGAATCCACAACTGCTAATAAACTGAATACAAGCAGGTAAAGTTGGAATAAGAATCATCTTTCTAGGAAACGTGATTGGGAAATTACAAACCTGCAAAATAAAGTGTTACCTTGGTTGGCTAATAAAATGGTAAAGTCATTATTTAGTTTTGATATCAATTACTGATTCACAAAAATGATTTTAATTTCTATCTTACTCTGATGATAAATTGAATTGTTTGGTTGAATTAGCCCGGCTTTGCATTTAGTCACGTATTGCTTACCATTTGATTATACGGTTCACAGCCAAACAAAATACGTTTGAATTGAAGCTCACATGGCTGCATGGCATTATTTTTTTTGTGCAGTCTGTTAAATTCTCAGGGGAAATCAGCTGAGAGAAAACAAGCAGAATAATCTGTCAATAATTGAGGACAATTTACAGCTAAACTATAGACGTTTCCAAACAATAAAACTATTTGCTTCTATCCATAACAAACTATTTGTTATGTGGAGGCTATCTCCTTAATTGGACCCAGCGTCTAATCGATGTGATTTCCGACCAATTGCCCATGAGTCATCATACAACAACAGTAGCAGGGATCACAAATTTACCGGAGTGTCGATACACTTTGCTAAAATGATATATTTACTGTATTACCATACACATCAATTTTAACCCTGTTGATACAGTGTATTGATCTGCGTATGCCCTACGGAATATTAAAAGCCTCTTTCAGGTACGTCGATGTCGTCGTTTGGCTACAAGCCCAAATGCTGTATGACAACTGCCTGAGGAAGGTACTGTGGTTTCAGATTCAGGGAAGTAATGCTGCCAACCCATTCATCTGAATCATATGATGGAAGTGTCCTTCCCATGAGTGCCTGGTGCATGCTGTCATTCAGGATGCTCAGGTGTTGCTGCACTATCATTAGTGGTCAGTGTTTCTGGGAAGAACAGCCCAGGCAGCGAGGGAATGCAGGGATGGCGGTGCAGTGAAGGGGTGCTGCTTGGAATGGCTCATATTTTCCACCTCTTGGGTAATAGCTATGGATCGCTATGTAATCATCTTCCTTTGTTATGTGCTGCTGTACTGTGATGGGGTGGGGGTTGCACAGAGATGAGGCTGCCAGTATAGACCTGGACCATAGTCAGGTTGGAAAAAAAAAAACCCAAAGGAAAATACAAGAAGTTAACTGTATATCAAAATCTTGGATGAGCTGAAAGAAAACCCCTCCACAGGCACTTGAAGGGTTACAGATTCAAGCAGCAGAACCATAACTGAGTCACAAATGAGTTGTTGCTTTTAGGTAGTTTCTTTGAACATAAAAAGCATAGGTGACCTAGAAATCTGAGTAGAAAGAGTAAAATGACTGAATAAAACAGAGCATTAATTAAAAATAGAAAGAGGTGAATTCATGTTGAGGCAACTAACACATCTGTGCCAAAATCAGTTAATTATCATCACGAAAGGAAGAAAACAAGTTCTACAACGGGGCACTGGGTGCACTTACAACTATTTTCCTCCAGCAGATTTATTAGAGGGAAGGCATTTATAATGAAACAGAGCTGCTTTCATTTACTTGAGCTATGATTTACAACTTGGCAACTGTCTTTTCCAAAACTGCCTGCAACAATTTGCCTCATTTTTTTCTCCCTTAGGACTGGCCAATTGACGACATGATGATTGATAAATGGTCAGGTCATTATTATGATGACAAAGTCATTTAAATATTTAGGTCATTTCTTTGGAAGGAATTCTGCTGTCACGAAATACATCAGCTGTTCTGCTGAGACAGTATTTTATGTAGGACTGCGATTGTTGCTACACAAAACATCAGAATAATGAGACTGATCTGAAGGTCAGTAAGTACTTTAAGTTTTATCTCTTGTATCCTTCAAGATTTAGAGTGTAAAGGCCAAGAACAAAAAAGGAGCTGGATTCAAACTCCCAATGCCACATGATCCAGTATGCTCTTTCCTTCTCTCTGTTTAGTTTTTGGTCATCTTTCTGTATGTACACCATCAATGCGCAACAAACTGTGATGCTCTATGTGTTCTGAGACCTTTCTATCAGAACCAGCATTAATCTTTCAGCAGAGTATTGAGCCTACAGAAGCTCGCTCTCCGTTGGAGATCAGACCACGTGGCCCGGCCTATCGACTCCGTCCCACATGCATCAATGAGCCAATCGGCAAACCTGATGCTGGTTGCCTGGGTGCACTTGCTCTTTCAAACTTCCTTTGAACACACTTACCCACAGCCATTTAATCAGGTACTGACCACTGCAGACTGGGTATGCAATTTGGCTTGATCAAAGTCGCCTCAAATCCTATACCCCCTGCCCATTTCCACTGTGACACAAACGTTAAATTGCATAACAGGATAAATCAGTGTTATTCACTACACCCGGATCGGTGGTCATAATTTAGTGGCTGATCAGGTGCATAAGATTATGATGAACACTTTATTTGAAACAAAATCCATATTCAACAAAACAAACCAATTTCTCCATTAAACATCTAGCAAATGTCACGTGAAAATGGTGCGAAGAACAGGTTGACAACGCACTAATGATTAAATGCGCTAAATAACAAACCTGTAATGTTCAAAGTGCCCTCAGTGGACAAAATGCACCTGTATATACTTTTTAAACATACTTTAAGAAGACTTGGATGGAGCAACTCCTCCGCACACTTAATGCTCTCGTTTACTAGTGGGAAAAAATATTCCTTTCTTCTACAGAGCCAACATATGCATGGGCATGAAAACGTAGACATTTTTGAAAAACTTAGAGAAATGAGTTTCCTCACTTTTTTTTAACCTTAGACAACTATAAATTGCATATCCTAAACCTTACCACAAATCATATGTCTCACCAGTGCGACTCACCATGCTAGCAGTGCTCGAATGGAGGGGGTGGTAAAAGTTCATTTCGAAGCAGCCACACAAAAAAAAAAAAAATGACATGTGACCCGTATCATGGATCATTCTGGTGGTTCGCCTTCTGACCATACAGAAGAACATCTCTAGGAGCCATTGGGAGGTAAAAGCTGGGGGTTTGGGAGTTTGAGATTTTGCTTACAGGCTGTTTTTGAAACAATAAAGATGAATTATGCAAAAACCCTCAGACACATAGTTACTTGATATTCACACACAACTACAACTTTTTAACCAAATTTTAAACTCTCCATTCGTTCAAACAGACACTTTTAAATCACTCCAGAGAAATTAAGAGGCTCAATCAGCACACTCCATTGTAAAAGTAGGTACAAGTACACAAACTAATTACTAACCACATAGCACCTAGTTTTTTTTTTTTCTTTTGAATTTTTATCATAGTATTTAATTTTTCTTTCTTCGAATCTTTTTCTAACCATATTTCTTTTCTACATAATTTTTTTCATTAATACTTATCTGGTAATTTTTTTTTCTTTTTCTTTTTTTTTTTTTCTAAATCTTTTTTTTATTTTTTTATATTTTATATTTATTTTTTTTCATTTTTAAATAACCATTTTTTTTTTTTTATTTAAGTTTTATTTTCTTTACAACTATTTTTTTTTTTTTTTGTTCAGAATTACGTGTTATGGCACAACTGGGCATAAGATGTCACAGAGCCATAAAGGGAGCTCACGGACCCTTCCCCATCCTGAGGATTATGGAAAGCCTGGGTTTCAAAATATCTAAATGGTCAACCTCCAATAAACACTTCTCCAATTTAACGCTCTTAATAACAAGGCAGCAGCTAGGGGGAACGGGGGTCACCAAAACATGCATTTGTACAAGCCTTCAATCCCCATTGGGCGGTCCTTGTCCACCATGCACTCAGAATTCACAAAACACACTATACACAATGGAAAAATCCAAACTCATCGGGTGCAACAATAGTGACTATGAAACATAGATAGAGCCTCGAGAAGCTAGGAACCAACTAGACAATCGCACGCTATCGATCTGGTTTGGGTTAATGTTTATCTGCAGATTATATTAATCCGATGAACCCTACAAGTTA